TCCAATATTTCTACTGTGAAGATGTTGTAAATCGGCCTACCTCTTTTGGTACTATTTCCACAAAAGTCACATTTTTTAAAACTCTCTGAGAGCATCGCATCAGACTGCGAGGAGAACTTTATACCGTAGAAGAATATGTTGTCAAAAATTTAAAATCTAAGTCAATAATTGTCTCTGAAATCGGGATCTTAGCCTCTGTCATCCTGTATTTGTCCATTATATGTATTTGTAACCGTAATCAATTTAGTTCTCCCTAGTTGCGATTAATTCTAAATTCAAACTTTTATTTATAATTTATATTGAATTGAGAAAAGCAATTTGTTTTTGTTTCCTTAATATCTTTCAACTTTTGTCAAATTAAATTATGAACAAATTACATTATTCCACCTGCGTTAGGCTTAAATTATTCTGAAACTAAATTATGTCGTAAGAAAATGTTTTCCATGATTGACGCCATTAACGGTGTATAGCATTACACGGTCGTTTAACACGGACCACAGCCATACGATTCACCAAATTTGCCAAATTCCGAGGTAAACAGACCTGCAAATAAAGGCACTCACTCTCGCACGCATAATGAGGCAATTAAAATGATGCTTTTAATGTTGTTAGTGTCATCTAATAGTAAATAGTGGCGTTTTGTTTACCACTGGCCTCCCATTGCACAACAACAGCGGCAGAGGCAAACATATGTCGGTCGATAGCACACTGACAATGTGGCAAGGTGCACACACTCTTGCAAATGTTGGCCAAACCACACAACATAAAATACCCAAAACATTGGCTGAATCATCTCTGTTTGTGTTGGTGTTTAGAATTTATGTGTGTGTGTGTGTGTTTAAAGTTTCGCCCAACTATATTTGTAAACTAATTAAATGTCAAGATTTACAACCAACGGCATTCGTTAATGAAAAACGCCCCACAGAATCAATAAAATTAACACCGAACAAGAAGGAGACGCCGTTAAGGACCCGGGTGAAAGAAAACTAACTGCTAATTAAACTGTCATACTTTATACGCTAGATGAGGAAGGAGAGGGACAGAGAGAGTGAGAAAGAGCAAAAAATGGAAAGAAACTTAATTCTCAAGCTGCTTTAACCGATTCTTAGTCTACTTTATACGAAAAAGTTGGCCAATCGTTAAAGAATGTTTGCAACTCTTTTACAGCGTAATACTCCGGTGACAATTTCAACTTTTTTACCAAGAGCAATCATGCGCAAAGTTTAATCTTTTCTTCGTTCATTCTTCGTCGGAAAAAGTAGAGCGCTTTAAATACACCATTTCCCCAAGGAGAACTATTTTTGAAAATTAAAAATATAAGTTTATATTACATTTATGGTTTATGTAGAAATGGGAAATCCATACAAATAGGGGCTCCATAAAAAAGAGAGAGTGGTCCTTAAAAAATTACTTACTATATTTATCAATTGATTCATAATAAGTTTTTACTTCAGACTAGTTTTTTAATCAAGACATTTAAATCATGATGAATTTTAAAAAGGAAACAAAAATCTCTTTGCCCCCTTATGACCGTACAGAAAGTATATGATTTGGGAAACATTTTCTCTGTTTTTTTTTTTAATTCCTTAAAAACTTTTGAGCAAAATAATTCAATTACTAATTTGCATTGAATGATGGAAACAGTGTAATTGCAAATAAAAGAAAATCTGCGCAAAAGTTTTTTTTGCGCGATTCAGTTTAAAACATAAGTCGCAAAGTGCGTTTATCTTAGCTGCCGTTAGCTGCTCAAGAGCCCTTACCTCTAAAAACGCTATTCCTCAACGTTTGGTTTTTTTTTCTACATTTAAAGTGGCATCAAGCATAAAATAAATCTCAAATCTCAAGGAATATCAACAGCTTAAAGTTGAAAGTTTAACAAAATTAAGTACAAAGCAATAGAAGCCAACAGAGTGCGGCAAGGCATTCCAGCGCTCACAGAGGTAAACTCAAATTAGTAGTAGGAGCCAAAAAAAATTAAAAAAGGAAGAAAAAACACAAATGTTAAAAGAAAAACTCAAGTAAATAACACAGAGAAGTAGAGGAGGAAAAAAACTGCCACGAAATAAAACTTAGTTTGGTAAGTCTAGTGGCAGCATAATAATGAGAGCATGGCATGTGTGTCAGAGAGGCTTTCAGAATTACAAAGTATCCAAACTCCACTAAACAGCCAAGGATTATGATAGTCAAAAGAAACATGAAAGGCGGTATACAAACACAATTATCACGAAGAACACGCAGACATACATATGTATTCGGTGGAGATAAGAGGTAAAAAGTTTAAAATAGCGTTAAATAGCATAATTGAAGGCAAACAGACACACCAGAAAAGGAGTAAGGGATTACACAAAATAAATTGTGTGAGGAAGGAACTATTGGCTTTAGGTATAAGGATATAGTATTGTATAACTTTGGCAAGATTGTGAAATAAGTTAGATTTTGATTTTAATTGTGTGTTGCATTTGAAGAGATTACTGATTTAAAGCAATTCAGCCACAATGATATATCGTGTTCGATTAAAAGATTTTATTTCAATGCAATAGAAGGAAGGTATATCCAACTCTGCTTCGATTTCCACAAAATTTGACGGAGGTATTTGTACCTCTTTTACCAAATAAGATTGCTATAGAGTGCAATCCTTCGAGAAGGATTACATCCAAAGGATATATGTGGGAACATAGTTTTGCCAAATGGAAGAGTTCAGTTGAATGTTCAAAAATCCATCGAACTTTTGCTAATTTGGCGCACAATAACAGTGAAATCGGCTGAAAATATATATGTAAGTTATATTCAAATCTGAACCGATCTCGATACACTTTGGCAGAGGTTCTGTGCTGTATCTTACAACTAATGCAAAATATCATTGCTGTAGAAAACATATTACGAAAGAGAGGGAGTTAAACACCAAATCGGATAGATATTATTTATATATGTGATCTATAGCCATATCCTGACCATTTTTTGCATCTTGGCTGAATTGGGTCGGACTTGTCCAAATACAACCCATTTGGAAAATGTTAGACATATGATGCAAAATAAAATTAAAATCGGACGAAGATATATTTCGGAGCTTTATCTAAATTTGGATCGATGGCAATGGACTTTTGCTGAGAGCTGCGGAATCTATTCAATTTTTACCAGACCACGACTCCCGCACCATTTGTTGCTTTGGACTTGGAATTTGAAGTCGATTCCGAAAACAAGTTTGTAATGATATCTAATTAGGTTATGGAAAGTTTGAAGAAAATCGGAAATTTATCTCACTTTTTCTAGAAATTTTATAAACTGGTAGAGTTGTTTGTGTTGTAATATTTTCTATGATTGATCCTGTCGTATGTTTGGCATACAAATTACAATGAGCCCTGTTTGGATTACATCGATTCCTTTTGTATGACATATACAGGGTGAGATGAAAAAAGTGCAACCAAATTTATACTGCTGTTATTTCTAAGCCACCCGGCCGACAGTTGTAAAAAATGTTCCAGTTACCGTGATGCTGGTAGCGTAGCCCGACGTCAAGGAGGTGGGCGGAGGAAAACAGCAACATCAGCAGGAATGGTTCGAAAAGTAGAGAAGCGACTCGATCGAAAGGCGCGCCGCAGTGGCCAAAAATGGCTCGTGAGCTGAACATATCGCAATATTTCAATCGGCAAATATTGAAAAATGAGCTCGGGGTAAAACTATTAAATTCCGAAATTCAAAAAAGCTAAAGAGTTGCTTCGCTTGGCCGAAAGTAGTGAACTCCCAAATATGATTTTCTCCGACGAGAAAACATTTGTTGTCCAGCAGTTTTTAAACAAACAACATGATCGTGTTTACTTGCCAATGAGTTCAGCTGAAAATGCACCTTCGGTTGGCCACCAGAACTCAAGCGCCGGCCATGGTGATGGTGTGGGCCGCCTTAACAGGCGATGGTCGCTCTCCGTTTGTATTAATCAACCGTGGGATCCGAATGAATGCCGAATATTATCGCGAAAATATTCTGGAAGATGTATTAAACCCTTGGGCATGCAAAAATGTTGTCCGCAGACCTTGGACATTCCAACAGGACTCAGCACCATTGCACTCAGCACGTGCCACCCAAGAATAGTTACAAAATGAAGTTCCTCGCTTCATTTCCACCGCACAATGGCCACCTAAATCTCCGGATACCAATTCATTGAACTATTGTGTCTGGAGTATTTTGGAATGCAAGTTAGGCACTAAAAACTAACATAGTGTCGATCACCTGAAGCAAGCGCTTCGCCGAAAATGCGCCAAAATACCGCAGAGCAACCTACGGACATCGTATGACGGTTTCATTGGCCGTTTGAAGGCCATAATTCGTGCCAAAGGTGACGAATTCGAACAAATCTAAACTTATTCTAAAATTTGATGATATTTCCGGAATTTTTTGGTTTCAATCAATAAAATGTAATAATATAAATAAAAATTATGGCGTTTGACTTTCTTGCAGTTTATCTTTTTATCTTACCCTGTTTATACTTTATGAGGTCGAACATTTAGGTATATTATGTCTATGACGAATATTTGGGTATATCCAGCATCTCAGGGTGGAGGGTAGAGAAATGAAAATACTTCAGTTCTAAGGAAAAATTAATGGAATAATAAAGTAATATCCGTAGAAAAAACGTAAGTAGGTAAAGTAAATATAATATACCCTTCAATGATGCTCATATCTGACGTTGGACATTTCCTTTCACAAATTACTTAATTTGTTAAAACACTACGGTTTCTCCATTTGTGAATACTTTTCAGTTTTTATTTTCCCTCCAAAAAGACCATTCCTTATGTCTGGCACTGTATTTCTATTTTCTCTTATCTTATCGGATATGTCAGAAATTAAAAATCTTCTCTTTTGAAGAAGCTCTAAAGTTTTCCCTTACATGTCAGCAACATATTTAAGAACATCACCAACAGCATCTGGCCAAATTCTCTAGTTTTGTGACATGCCACGATCCTGCACGAACATCTATCTCCCTAGAGATCCACAGATCTGAATACCTTTCAGTTGAGAAACAAACGCCGAAAGTGAAACATCAACAACGGGAAAATTTCGTGTGTGCTGAAGTGATCAAGACAAGCAGAGAATAAAGAAAATCAAAAGAAAAACAAAAAATGTTGTGCTCTCATGTGTTGTTGTTGTTGGTGAAACACACATAAGTTTCATAAGTTTAAAAATAAATCCAAGTCTTGATGCCCCGTTGTACGCATTTACGCACCCTCGTTTTTTCGGCCGAGTAACGACAAAATCCCAACGACAACAAAATAAAATAAAATCAAAATGTACTTAAGAAACGAAACCACAAAAATAAAATAAAAATAAAATGAATTGGTAAATAAATATGTCACTGTTGTTGTGATAAACACAGAAGCAAAAGTCATTTGGTAATTTTCGCTAAATGAAATTTATGGCCGGAATATATTTGTTATTTGCATGCGGATAAACCCTTGAATATTTGATCCAATGCGGATTTTTGCAACACACACCACATCATCGAAAACATATATAAACGGGGTGAATGAAATAGTGAGCAAAAAAAAAATAAAACGCGGAACTTCATAATAAATTTCGGTGACAACAAAAATATGAATAATGTTTCTGTGAAATGCAATTCAACGAAAAAAAATAAATATAAATCTGAAAACTCGTCGACAGTGCCGCCGCAGTTCAAAAGAAATGCAACATTCAAATGCAGAGCAAATAGCTGCTGTTGCTGGTGGAACCAATTATGAATGTCGATTGCTTGCTACTCCGCGCTTTGTGCAAACGCGTCTGTGAATGTATGCATGCTGCCAGGGTGATAATGCGTCCTTTACACCATATCAAAGCAGTGACAAAGTAAATTCTTAGTAAAATTGTGCAAAAAAAAAGTTTATTTCCAGGAAATGTTTACGCTCGTTAATGTGAAGCATGAAAACGTTATGTGAAGTTTTAAATTGAAAGTTTCATCTGAATTTAAATATAATTGGTAATTAAAGTCACTGTAATGAGTTGCAAAACTTAAATTTTCCATTAAAATTAAATGTTTTACAGTAAAACGAAGGAATAAGTCTCATAGATGAAGTTGGAAAATTCAGCTTGTGGTGTGTTTATATGTAATATGCATGTGTTGTATATTCAGAGAATTTGATATTACAATATTTGATATTTTGAAAAATATATTTTATTGAGGTGCCGGTAAAAAATTTTAAATATAATAATAAAGAAAGATGAGGGAAAAATATTTTACAATATTTTATACGCAATTTTAAAGCTATAAAAAATATATATCTGATTTGGATCAAAATACTTAAAGAATGTTAAAAATCTAAAACGCCTGCTTTTAATTACGAATGCAGAATTCATATTAAGTTCAAATTTGGTGTTGATATCTCGAAATCTCTAGTCAGGGCGAGGTAATTTCTCTGGGTAGTTCCAATAGGGTTAAGGTGTTTTTGAGTGTTTTAGTCACAATTTCAAAACGAATGTGCAGCAAATTGGAAATGTGTGTATGTAGGAAATATCCATGCAGAGAACTGTACACATAGGTCCAAGTTTAGGTATAGACCCCATATAAATGTATCACCCGATATTCCGTATTTTGATGATTAGTAACACAGTTTTCACCGGACTTGTTTCAAATTTGGATTTAGGAATTAGGACTGTTTCAGGAAAAAAAAAGATTCACGGTTTCGTGTAAGTCGTGGATAGCTGTACTTCAATATAGAGTTTTTAAAGTTCAAATAACAAAATGCCTTATCTTAAAATTAGCTCCTTTCTAGTTCCACTCTTTGAAAAATGAGCAATAGATTTATTATCAGCGTAAAATATATTTGAAACATATATATATTATAATTTGGTATTTGGATTCCTCTGATACCCGCCTGTTTTAAGGTAGCTTGAAGGGTTTGAATACATTTGGCCACTTGACGGTTGGATCCTTATTTAGTTCGTCAACTGTGTAGAACAAATTTAAACTTCGCTCCATATATCGGCTTAGCTTCATTAAATTGCTTTATCAGATTTTACACCACATTATGTTATTATGTTTTTACACCCTCCACCATTCTATGGATGGTGAATGACTTTGTCATTCCGTTTATAACTCCTCGAAATATTCATAATAGACCCTATAAAGTATATCTATTTTCGATCAGCGTAAAATTCTAAGACGACCTAGCGATGTCCGTCAGTTGTAATCACGCATCTGTTGAACGATTTGAGATAGAAGACTAATATTTTGCATGCATGCATATTTTACCAGTAGGCAGGTTAAGTTTGTAAATGGGTCATGTCGATCCACATTTTTGTATAGTCCTCCTACTACGGTACCTCCCGATATTCGGTATTTTTATGATTTCAGCGACATTATTTCAAATTTCGTATTTGAAGTTCGTAATGGGTACTACAGCCTATGACAAACATTTTTGTATGCAGGTTCACGTCTTCGTATAGCCCCCATATAGCGGTAGCTCCCGATATTCGATTTCAGCAACATTATTCACCGGCATCATTCTAAATTTCGTATTGGGAGATCCTAATGGTTACTACAACCTATGGAAATAAAAATTCGTATGCAGGTCCACGTCTTCGTAAGACGGTACCTCCCGATACTCGGTATTTCTATGATTTGTGCGACTATATTCACAAGAATTGAAATTGTTTCAAATCTGATATTTGAAGTTCGTAATGGGTACTACAGCATATGACAAAACTTTTGGTAACCAGATCCACGTCTTTATATAGTCTCCATATAAGAGTTTTCATTTAAGTGGTAGTTTCCGAAAGTTTTTTGAAAATTTGCAAGTTTTTTCCAAATTGTGGAGGGTATTAAAAATTCGGCCCGGCCGAACTTAGCTGCTTTTTTACTTGTTGAACATTCTTTTAGAACATGCAGAAAACAACTACATATACCTATAATTCTTTTTGATGGTCTGCATAGAATCGAATTTTGAGTCGATTTATGCCTGACCTGTCCATGTCTGTCCATGTGTTTTTGTAAAAAAAAGTATAAGTCGCATTTTGTATCAAATTGAGATAGAATTTTCCAAAAATCACTTGTTTGGCCAAAGGATGAACCTTTTTAAAATTGGTTCAAATTCAGACATAGCTCCCATATATCTTCATCCGATTACAATTTTATTGCGCGCCATAGGATGTCTTTCGGCACATCCGACCAAACTAAGCCTTAAGAAAAATACTTCAAATTTAATGAAAATTAGTGCAGATAAGGCTACAGCTCCTAAACTTACGTTTTATCCGATTTGGCGTTTACATAAATGTTTCATCCGACTTTGCATTTAAGTCACTTACTTTCGTCGTATGCACTCTAAAAAAATGATATTCGTCACTAGATACAGCTCAGAAATACCTCTAATACTATTTCAAGGTTATTGTGCTCCAAATATGTAACAAATTGGATGGATTGTTTGACATTCAACCGAGTTTTTCCCATTTAATGGAACTTGGTGGAGTGAAAATCTTAATACAGCCCACGGTTCTATTTCAGATATTTTGTATATTTCGTGTTCCAAGAGAGTTGAAATCGCCCGTCCGGAAATATCCGTATGGACCCCAGTTGTATTATAAACCGCCAGAAATATATTCCATATAACGCTATCTCCCAGTAATTTAAAGGGTTTTAACACATCTTTTTGAATATTTAAGCCCTCTGATAATGTTTTCTTAATCGATTTCTAAATTCAATTATCTAAATTTTACACAAAATTCTGTCCCTGTCACATTTTTCTTGCTAAATACTCGACATTAAATGGCGCCGAAAATATTTCGCCGATTTCTATGAAATGGTGTTCCTTAATCACCATCTGTTATTTCATAGGTGTTCTCCTCTTAACCAACACCATCACAGCCAACAGCAACAAAAAACCTTATTATAATGTATTTTCATACATAAATCTTTCTTTCGACGACGACATCGAATCAAAGCCGTCATTTTGTTTATTTATAATCGATCAAAGTGTATGAGGCCACCAGAAAAAAAACCCATGACGGTTTTCACTATAATGTTATTTTTTCCGCAATATGCCAAGATTTGTATTCAACGTCAGAACAGTTTTTCATGTCTTTTCCTCTTGACGTACATTTTTAGGTTATAAAAACTGATGGATGTAACTAAAAACTTGTTTATATTTACACAATTTGTGAATTTTCTCGTTTTTTCGTTGCAGTTAATAGAAAATATGAAAAAAAAAACTAATGGAAGAGAATCAAACGGAATTAATGAGCATTAATTGTGTAAATAAATGCTGGGTAAAAAAATAAACAAATAATAATTAAATCTGATCAATATTTAAACAAGCGTTAACCAGCAAAAACATATTGGAGTTGGAAATTAATTATCGCGGAAAAAAACAGAACAAAACAAAATGCGTTAATGCCTGGCATTTAAGATTAATAGAAATAAATGTAACACAAAATCCCCTGGATTAAGTAATTCTCTACGAAAATCTTTTAAAACAAAAGCAAAATAGAGTCGGCCGCGGCACTCACCGCAATACAGCGGCAACAATAAAACGTTCATAAATGATTTATGTTAATGGATTCCATTGACGACGATTGCCATTATTTTTAGCCACAATCCCATCGGCCTTATGGCGGGTGTGCAGAATTGGGAAATGGTTTCTCTCTAAATGTGATGGAATTTTCATTTTCTCACTGCAGCCCGGTCTCAGTGATCGTAGAAATGTATGTTTTCTTCGTCTCTATTATTTCTCTTTGAGAAAACTTTTGTTGCTTCTGAAGAAAACACGACATTATCTAAATGGAAAATGAAATTTATGACATGGAATTGTGTTCTTTTTGGGTTTTTCCGCATTCAGGGACCGGCATGAAAAAAAAATATGTTCAAAGAAATTAGCTCGGCTACAATGAGGGGAAGAGATATTCAGTTTGTCACAGCGCTTTGTACTTCATAGAAATAGCAATCCCATTTTTCTCAAACTATTTCGGGTGACAAATTATATAACAGAGGAATAATTATAGTAATTAATTCCAGAGTATAAGAACTCATAATAGGTCTGTTCCAGACCTGCAAGAATATGAGATATTTTAATTCAATAACCGATTTTCCCTTTATGATATCGAAAAATATTGCAAAAGTAGTAGATTCTTGCGGGTTCTGCAACAGGAAATAATAATAATAATAGTAATAGCAACAAGTAAAAAAAGCAGGTCCGAAATTTTAATACCCTCCACCTTCCCAAACCCAAAATATGGATGAGGCCGTTATATGGGGCCATACCAAAATGGAAACCTCTATAGACAAATTTATACTTCAAGGATTGCCATCTTCCAAATCTTCTTAAATACCAAATTTGAAACAATTTCGTGGGTAAATATGACAAGGATTACCGAAATATCGAATATCGATGCACTTTAGGAAAACGTGGACCTAAATATTCAATCTTCTACCACCAGAGCTAGAACAAGTACCAATTTTGGACAAATCCGTGGACAATTCCCAATATTCGGTATTGGATAATTTTGGCCACATTTTTTTATGGATTTTTCTAAAAATTGGTATTTGTATTTTGCTCCGGTAGCGGAACATAGTATTCTTCATAGTTCTTTGTATAGCGTCCACATAACGGTACCTCCCGATATTCGGTATGGTAATGATTTTTGGGATATTATTTATTGGAATTGTTTCAAATTTGGTATTTGAAGTTCGAAATGGATGCAACAGCCTATGACATGAGATTGTCTGTGCAGAACCACGTCTTCGTATAGCCCCCATATAACGGTGCATCCCGATATTATATACTTTGTTGATTTTAGCTAAAGTATTCACAGGAATTGTTACAAATTTGGTATTTGAAGTTTGTAATGGATGCTACAGCCTACGGCAGGAGATTGTCTGTACCGATGCTTAAATTAGCTTTACACTAAATTCTAATACGACTTCGGGTTTTATAAATATAGGAACTATGACCGGTTATCTTTTTCGTATATATGTACATAATCAATGCC